AGATGTTTATTTATATTTGAAGACATATTAAAGGCTTTAACGCTTGTTTTCGACTCGCACTACTATTCATGATTGAACAAAACTTTTGGCAGGTACTATATGAAAAAGTATGTTTAATGAACAAGAGTATAATGAGCCTTTTTCTTCCTACCTACGATTTTGTCAGCGCGCATCCAAGACATTGGAAGGGGAACATCGCTAGAGAAAGTAAATGAAGTATAGCTCTTTCTTACTTATTCTCAGAACTTTTCTGTATCTGGTTGCACTCGACACCCTCTCGTCTATGACGACATTCAGGAAATTCCAACATTTATCCACCACCATGAAATGTTTCAATTAGATTCCAGCCCCTTTACTAGGTAACTTGTAATAATCTCAATTTTGACATGTTTCTTTAAAAATTATTTCAAGTTTCTTAATTATTACAATCAAATTTGTAATATCAACTAAAATACCTAGTAAATTTATTTCTGCTGGGATTTTATTTTTACAAATTCGGGTTCAAATTGTAATTATTATTATTTTCGCTTGCGAAGCAACGGGCTAGTGTGATAAATTGTAAATATCGCTGTAATATTTTGATAAATTTTCGTTTTTCATTTTCTCCATGTAGGAATACAGACAATAATATTCTTTTACAATATATATGAAATTAAATTATTAGCCACTTTTGAACACCCCAATAGGTATATAAAGCAGTTAATACAGATTAAAATAAGTTTTTTAATTTAAAAATCTGAAAATTTAACGTGTCCACAGTCCGAGTTTTAACATCTATAATATTACTGCTTTTAAATTTAACCATTTGAAAAATACATTTACATATTTCTTACCTTGTATAGATTGTGGATCTTGAAGGATAAAGAATGTGAATAAAGATAGAATATTAAGAACAGTCGAATTTCCATAGAATAAAAGCCATTCTGTATTTTTATAATCGTTACAGTAACGGTAATTTTATGAACGGAGTATTATTAAGTAGTGCGTGGCTAAAATAATTTAAGGGGGAGGGTGCTACCATTCATTAAATTAATTATTAGTTTCGTCGTTTCCTCAATTTGTAATAAAAAGTAAATATGGTTATTTTATATGCCAGAGAAATGCATACGTGTCCAAGGTGTAATAGTTAGAAAAAGAGAACATTTAGTAACACTTCTTGTGAAATTCAGAATGTCTTCTTACAGCAAATACACAAAATTTTAAGTTTCACATATTCTTCATGTATCGAAAAGAATCAAAAGTTAAATGCAAGCAAACGTGTTGTTTTTTCTTTTTTTTTTTTTTTCGGTATTAATGTACATGCGAACACAACAATACAAAAATATCAATATGTTTTGTAACTGTTTTCTTATTTTATATAATGTACAAACGACGTAAGCAATTAAAAAAGTGTTCTGATTGATTTGCCTAACATTTTGATCAAGTAGAAAAAGGATCTTACATCTAGGTAGGTCGAGTGACGATAGTGATGAAGAACGATATTTTTCAAGTGAAGAAAATTCCATTTTAATAAGTCTTTTACTTTGTTGCTTGGCGCAGTTTTTGTTTTCTTACGAAATCCTGAGCAACTTTGTCCATTGTTCGAGATTCCAATATTTGTAATATTGGATTATCTACAAGGAATTATAAGGAATCTTAGTTTTAAAGACTATTTTTACATCTTAATGACTTAAAACCGAATTTAACAAGCTGTGCGGTGTGGTGGCGACCTATAGGAACGAAGTTTCTTACAACACATAGTAGTAATTATTGCCCTAATATCAATGAACAGGACTATTCAAGCAACTTAAAGGGGTCAAAAGTGTTTTATTTATCAATAGTCAACACCGACGTTTCGTTTTTGGTGTAAATCTTTCTCAGGGTATATTAGTCACTTGTATCATAACTTAGAGTTGCGGAAAAGGTAAAAGGCTCAAAAAACCATTGCGGATCACCCCAGCTTTCATAAAACTCAGTTTTAATTGTGTTATCGTTTTTTTTTTACCACGTGGTTATTAATTCTCTATTTTATTATTAATTTATTATTTTAATTGTGATTGTCTATTTTAAAATTTTAATTCCACGTTTATTATTAACTGTATTTATGATAGATTGGGTAATACGCAATGTTTTGTTTGCTCTTTTTACTTTTTCTGCAACTCTAAGTTATAATACAAATGACTTTATAATCTACACTGAGGAAACTTTACACCAAAAGAAAAACGTTAGTGTTGATTATTGTTAACTGTATTTATGATAGATTGGGTAATCCGCAATGTTTTGTTTGCTCTTTTTGCTTTTTCTGCAACTCTAAGTTATAATACAAATGACCTTATAATCTAGCCGGAGGAAACTTTACACCAAAAGCGAAACGTCGCTGTTGACTATTGATAAATAAAACACTTCATTTCTTTAAGTTGGTTGAATAGTCCTGTTTATTACATTATTCAACAAATACTGATTATAGATTTTGGTCAAAGTATTTTGTAAAAAAGAAGTTGACAAACATGGTAAGATTCCGAGTCTTTTTAAAACGATTCTTGTTAGATATATTCCTCAGATGGCAGACTAGTTGAATCTACCTCCACAGCTCTTTGTCTCTCTGGATACAGTAAGTAAGAGAGACAGAGATGTCTACTAACACTTTTGACCAGCGTTGTCAGGTATAGCAAAATTTCCCTAGATCTAGAGAATTTAGAGCCAGCTTAGGGAAAAGGAGTTTTTTTATTTAATTATAGTTAGTTTTAGATAAGTACCTGATAAATGTACCCTGGNTACCGTCAAAAAATTATTCAGACATATCTCTAGGGCCGATTCACTATGCTTATCGTCCTATGACCTTTAGGGAAGGAGGAAGTCCGGCCAGCCTCATGATCCTGCTTTTATAACAGGAAGGGGGCAAATTTAGCAACCCTTAGCGATATCAGAATTTTAAAATTGCGCTATGATTAAAAATTAAAATTTTTTTTTCGTAATTAAAGTGTAAAACTATTACTATGTAAGGGTTACGTAACGGAGTGGTGTGTGGAAGTGGTGGTGGCGTTAAATGAGGGGGGGGGTTAAAACTTGATGGAATTTTACGTTAAGTAATTTATGGACAGATCCTGGTTATCGATTTTAGCCTTTGATGATCTTAATTAAGATTTTGTTATGTTGAAATTACAAAAAGGTTAAAATAGTGTGATAGATAGATGATAATACTGAATTATCCAAATGGCTACCAACATGCCTAACAGTCGAGTAGGTTTTTTGATATTTTTATTTTATTATTACTGATTTGAGATACGGATTAATTTTACCATTTTGTGTCGATATAATTATTTAAATGTGCGTTATCATTACGACAATAAATTTGTTTAATCAGACTATAACAGCAATAGATAACATATAAACTGTTCCACATTAAAAATTCATAAAAAAGACATTTTATTACATTGTCACATAATGGTAAAGGAATATAAATATATATACAATTTATTCTATTACATGTTTACAACATACTTTTTTATATAATAAGTACAACATTCATTCAATGCAATTCGTACAAAACGGCATTCACAAATATAATTATTTATTTATTAGTACATTACCGTTCTATATGCTAAACTATTATGTATCTACATATATCATATCATATTTCTTAAGATTGTCCTGATTGTTACTCTTAAACGCGTTAAAGAATTCAATAAAAAGCAGTACGTGATATAAAATGTTTACGATGGTGTTGAATTTTATGTTTTTAAAAATTCCAGTTTTCAGCAATTATAAGAAATAGTTAGTCGATTATTGCACTCAGGAAATGGTAAATTATGCTTTCGCTTGAGATTAGGTACAAACATAAAAACAATGAAATTATTAATGGTTTGTTAAATTTTATATTTTTATGAGCTTCCGTACCTAATGAAATATTATTAAAAATTCCATGTTACTAGTTATGTACTCTTGAAAAAGTCTACATACGCCGAAACATTAATAGACCAGTATTTTTTATTTCATCGAGTGCTATTTTAGTCCAAAATTTCGATTGCTGAAGATTTGATATATATCTTTTGATTATATATTTAAAATGAGCAACTTCTTAAATTATCTGTTAATAAATAACAATATACAATCTTTAATTTAAATAATAACTGCATGCATCTGCACGGAATTGGTGTTTAAAAGTGGCTATTTGTTTTATAAGCATATTTATATTTTGTATATAATTTTTGAATGTCCTGTTTGAACGTTTGTTTTATTTTAGGCATTACAGTAATTTTGTATTTTATTTATATATATACCTACATACCAATAGCAAATTTTATTTGACTTCTTCGTATTTATTATTAAACCCTTTGAAAGGTAATCTTACCAGATCTTTTACAAAGGATTTATTAACATAAATTTACGGAAATCAATGGGGAAATGTATGCTTAATAGCCAATAAGCCCATTTGAAAAATTGAGACACTATTATCAAAATTTCATTGTACTTGTGGCTCGATCTATAATTGATGTGTCAAGTATTGCAAGTAGCTAAATTTAGAGGAATCATGAAAATAAATTTAGTCTATAATAATGTAAGTACATTGTTTGCTTACAGCATGTCGTCCAGGGCCGTAGCCAGAGTTGCGCCAGGGCAGGGCTAGACCTGTTCTAGAAAATTTTGAGTCTTCTTAGCTATTAGCTTGAGATTGTTAAAGATTTCGATATATCTATGCGTAGTTTATAAGTTTTACTACCCTTGCGTTAACAAGGGTTATCGTTCATATGGACGATCAACAAACGTCAAATCTGATCCTTCTAGCTTACGAACCAAATCATACAGAGAAACAGAATTTAACCAGCAAAATATTAACAAATGTACGACTGTTAAACTTAATTTCCCTCAATGGCTCTTGTATCCTANCCTAATGAAATATTATTAAAAATTCCATGTTACTAGTTATGTACTCTTGAAAAAGTCTACATACGCCGAAACATTAATAGACCAGTATTTTTTATTTCATCGAGTGCTATTTTAGTCCAAAATTTCGATTGCTGAAGATTTGATATATATCTTTTGATTATATATTTAAAATGAGCAACTTCTTAAATTATCTGTTAATAAATAACAATATACAATCTTTAATTTAAATAATAACTGCATGCATCTGCACGGAATTGGTGTTTAAAAGTGGCTATTTGTTTTATAAGCATATTTATATTTTGTATATAATTTTTGAATGTCCTGTTTGAACGTTTGTTTTATTTTAGGCATTACAGTAATTTTGTATTTTATTTATATATATACCTACATACCAATAGCAAATTTTATTTGACTTCTTCGTATTTATTATTAAACCCTTTGAAAGGTAATCTTACCAGATCTTTTACAAAGGATTTATTAACATAAATTTACGGAAATCAATGGGGAAATGTATGCTTAATAGCCAATAAGCCCATTTGAAAAATTGAGACACTATTATCAAAATTTCATTGTACTTGTGGCTCGATCTATAATTGATGTGTCAAGTATTGCAAGTAGCTAAATTTAGAGGAATCATGAAAATAAATTTAGTCTATAATAATGTAAGTACATTGTTTGCTTACAGCATGTCGTCCAGGGCCGTAGCCAGAGTTGCGCCAGGGCAGGGCTAGACCTGTTCTAGAAAATTTTGAGTCTTCTTAGCTATTAGCTTGAGATTGTTAAAGATTTCGATATATCTATGCGTAGTTTATAAGTTTTACTACCCTTGCGTTAACAAGGGTTATCGTTCATATGGACGATCAACAAACGTCAAATCTGATCCTTCTAGCTTACGAACCAAATCATACAGAGAAACAGAATTTAACCAGCAAAATATTAACAAATGTACGACTGTTAAACTTAATTTCCCTCAATGGCTCTTGTATCCTACCTAATAAATACTTTTTATCACAGTTTTTAGAAAAATAAAATAATAATTCCACGGAAAATCACTTATGTAGCTTTAGTAAAATGTGTAAGGGTGTTTAAAAAAATTACTAATCAATAAATTAGTTCTACGTAATATTTTGTGGTTTGCTAGATAATAGTATTCAGTTTTGACGTAAGAGTTGTTTTCGTCAAGAAAAACGTTTCATAACTTTTTTATAGTTATATTATTAGTTGTAGCATTTGCTGTATGTTGGGTTGTCTATATATTATAGTGAGGAATTGTAGTTTAATTTATTGCAAAAAGAAAGCTACAAATTAGCATTTCTAACTGCATCTACATGGAAAAAATATAATTTAAAGATTAATATTCCTGAAGTTACTTCAATGAAACCGGAATTATAACCTTTATTTTAAATTGTCCCGGCGCCTTCACCAAAATTTTCACTATAATTTTTTTAATGAAACAATGCAGATGATGCTTCAGTAATTTCGTAAATATTTTCTTTACGTCATTAATGCGATAATTTACAATATTAGCCACCCACAGCAACCAGATTTGATCTTTCTAGCATATGGACAAAATTGCAAAAAAAACTGAATATTTTTATGAAAATTTAATTATTAGACAAACCGACAGTTTTGATTGATTTTCTAATCATTTTTGCATCTGCAATTAGCCACTAATTAATGAAGTAACCCAGTGTTTGTTCGTGCAATAAGGATCGAGTATTAACACACTATGATATAGATGGAGAAAAAATCGGTTTTCAGCCTGCCTTGGTTACACAGTCTGGATACGACCCTGATTTTGCCCTTCCGCTACAAACCGTTCATTTAACCTCGAAGAGATTACCTATATCATCGACTATGTTTGAGTTTTTTAAAAAGTTAAATAATATTGCAATTTTATATGCTTTAATTTTGCATAATTAAGTTGAACTTTTTTTGATTTGATGTAAGTTTTTGCTTTACTGTTAATATTTTAGTTATTGGTTTCAGCAACGAAAAATGTAGTGACGGATTTTTACGTTTTTGTTAACTACTTATATATTTTCTAAAGTAGAGATACACAAAGAGAAAACTAAATTTTATGACTGAATTTCCCGTAGAAATAGTAGAATTTTTTAGGTAACTTGTAATAATCTCAGTTTTGACATGTTTCTTTAAAAATTATTTTAATTTTCTTAATTATTACAATCAAATTTGTTATATCAACTAAAATACCTAGTAAATTTATTTCTGATTGGGTTTTATTTTTACAAATTCGGGTCCAAATTGTAATTTTTATAATTTTCGCTTACGAAGCAACGGGCTAGTGAGATAAATTGTAAATATCGCTTTTATATTTAGATAAATTTTCGTTTTTCATTTTCTCCGTGTACTGAATGAAAAATAAATATACCTAGACACTTTAACACAGTTTAAGCTGTCTTTTGTTGACCTTAAAAAAGTGCCAGTACCTATTATTAAATACCTGGTCCTCTGTACAAGGGCTTATTTTTATAAAATTATGTATTTAATATAACATGTTTCTATATGTAATTACAGTACAATAATTATGGTTATAATGGGCAAATAATACTCTCAATGGTGGAATTGCTATGTCTGATTCAATAGATTTCGTCAAATTACAGTCTGTTTGCGATAGGCTTCGATTCTAGTACGAATAAATTAATTAACGAACGCCTAGCGGAAGATTTTTACTTTTCTCATTAGAAGCGAAATTTTATTCGAAATATAAAATGAGGCAGTGATAGTGTTAGAAATCGATTTAGTAGGTTTCTCATTTTGCAATTTCAGAATTGAAATCAATTTATACGAAATTAAGGAATAGACTGAGGTCTGGGTACATATATGTAGATGAATTATGTAAGGCCTACCTTGAGGTGACATTCTATAGTACCATCCTTGGATAGCTTGTAGCTATAGTTTCAGCCCGATCTCCTTGCTAGTGTAGGTTTGACAGCACGCTGAACAAGACGCCTCTGTGGTTTTCGTAAAAATGGAAAAGCAGGAAAATCGTGCT